TGCCAAATGAGATTTCTTGAGACACACGGATGGCTGTCCGGTTGGGCCGGCGCGTTTCCGGGGTGCTGTCTGATCTCACTAACGCAAAGTAAGGGAAAACATTCGAAATAGAGAAAGTAAAAAAATTCTATTAAAGAAACTCAGAAAATTCAATCAAAATTAAAATTCTGATGTGCCTAAAATCCCTATCAATTCAAAAATTAAGAGTTTACATGCAATGCAAAGATATAAGGGCATATCCAAGGTATAAAGCAAATTATTATAGCGTATGGTAAAAACATTTTTTTCGACAAATTCCTCCAAAACCGCCCCCTTAACAATTCTCCCGATTTTCAGCCGAGCGCATCGAGGGCAAGGCATTCGTGCGTCGCGGAGCGCTGAGGCAGAAGAATGTGCACGAGATTAAGTGGGTTTAATGAAACATGAATTTTGACAAAATCCAAGGATTACATAGTTGAATTTTAATAACTGATTTCTCTTTCTTCTGTCTCTTTTCCTTTCTCTCTATCTCGCTTTCTCCAAGTTATAGAAAATATTATTTGAATAGTTTTTGTTCATTCCCGTTCTTCTCTGGTGTTTGATCTCGGAAGTCAATTTGGTCCTCAAGCCCCAGAAGTGGCCTGGGTGCCTTGGCTTTCTCGGGGGCCAGTGAATAATAGGGGTGGCCACCGGCAACGTTCCGGTCTTGGACAAGGCGATTTTGGGGTATTATTCTTGTAGCTTGCTTCTCTCTCTCCCACTCTCTCTCACTCTTGCTCTCTCTCTCTCTTTTTTTTCTTCCCTCCATCCGTTCCTTATATGTAGTGTCCACCTGACCAGCAGGGTCACTCAAAAGGCCAGAAAACCGGAAAACTCGCGCTAGACGCAAAATTCGTTTGTTTTGGGCGCATCCCCCAATTTGGTCATTAGCCACACACTGCGTTTATGGCCACACCCAGCTGGGCCCCGGGCCCTTCTGAAGGGAAGCGGATAGGACCCACAACAACCCCCTAAAGGATTTGATGAAATTTTTTTCGGGGGTGGTGAGATGCGAAACGGGAAGCGTGGAAAGTTTTTGGGTGTGTGTTCTGGGAGGGGAATGGAAAACACTTCAAGATCTGAGCTTTTTGGTGGTTAGTTTTTCGCCAACCGCGAGCCTAATTTAACGTGCAACCAGGGTTGAAAAACCGCTTCGCGGCTTTTCAACCCTGGCCCCGTCTAGGACCGATGAAAGTTTTCAATTTGCATGCTTCTTCCCCAAAATCTATCAGGAAAAAAGTGAAAAACGGCTCCTCGGTCGCTTTATATAGGCTATCCGACTTCCGGCTTATGCTAATTGATCCCTAACAAAGAGGGTGGGCGAGAATTTTACAAAAATTTGTTTTTAATAGCGAAAATAGCAATTTTTCAAAGATTTTATGTGCGTGCAGTCGATTCCGGACCCTTCTTTACCTATAGACGTTTCTTCACTACCGAAAAATGCTTCCCTGAGGCTGTAGGTGCGGAACATCCTCACGGAAGTTGCATGCAAATGCACACACACACACAGACACTATTTTTTTATATATATTTAACGTGCGATGATATAGCGCACTAAAGAGACGATAGCATCTTGTTTTTCCCTGCAAAATTCAGCGTTACTCAGACTCTCTACCTATCACGCTCCCTTTAAGATGGGAGTAGAGAGCACAAAAGCGAAAAACAGTTTCAAAGTAATTGTATCAACCCCCGAGCGAGCATGGACAAGAAAAGCTCCTGTGAAATCGGAAGCAAAACAACTAAAAAAAGCAAGCATGATAATTAACCACAAAGCTCCTAAAAATCTCTCATTTTCAGACAGCACAAATTCATCGCCCGCTTCTTCAAACAGCCGACGTTCTGCAGTCACTGCAAGGATTTTTTGTGGGGCATCACCAAGCAAGGATTTCAGTGTCAGGGTGGGTTTTTTATGCTTTTCCTCTGGTTATACTCTCACGGACGTTCTCTTTACCATCAATATTGTTATTTTCCCTTATCCGCTTTGAAAATTATCTTAAAAGTTTTAAAAAGTGCGTTATGACCCCCGATTCTCTCGTTTACTTTTGGAATTCAAACCCCACCACGTGGCCGTCGTCATTTTATTCATTTTCTGAGATCCTGTGGTCAGTAAACCTTTAGTCCGCCGCCATATTAGCCAACCCCAACGATAGCAATAACGTTTTTTAAGTCAATCTGATTATTTTAAAAATTGAAATAATTTTTTGCAAGCCCTTTATGCCAAGTCGAAGTCAGAATCGTACTTTTTCTAATCCTAGTCTACCTTCTCATGAAAACATGCCATTTTTAGCAGTCTTGAAGCTAAATTTAAGTAAATAACAGCCATTTCCTCTTTCCTTGATTAAAGGAACTGGAAACTAAAAACATTTTTTTTTTGCTTTCGGCAATCATCCAAAACTTCAAAAACGTAGTCAGGTGTTGCTCGTACGCCTAAAAGCAGCCTGTGAACCTCTCGAGACCTGTAAAACGGTCAAAAAATCTCTAGTTCTTTCCCAGTCGTTTTAATACCTCGTAACCATGCCCTTCTACTTCTAGAATTCTCCTCCCAATACCACATCATCTGCCCCATTCCGCCATAATCCTAGCGACGTATATGTCGAGAAGGGCTAAGGAGGGCAGCGATGTCGGACTTTTTGGGGGCCAGGAAAATTGCTCGGGAGTCGGCGGGCTGCGTTGTCTTTTGGCTTTATGGGGAGGTGTGTTTCTTGGCTTCTCCTCAAATATGGGCCACCCGTTGTTAGGTGGGGATGGGGAGGGAATAGCTACGGGCCCAACAAGGGGGAAGTTCCAGGAAAAAGACATGGAGATCCGTCGGTTTTAAAAATCAGCATAAGGAGGGAAATCGGAGTAATACGGTACGCTATCGAAAGGCACCTTGAAAACACCTGAAATATGGCAAATCTCTTCGTTTTTAGCCCTATCTCGCTATCTCTCTCTCTCTCTCGCGGACGCTCTCTCTTTCTCTCTCCAAAAACTCTCTCGCGCAGATGTCCACTCTCTATGTCTCTCACCCAAGGTTGCTTTGTCTCACTCTCTTTCGCTCTCACGCCCTCGTTGTCTCTCTCTCTCACTCTTTCTCTCCCACACCTACCGTAGTCATATTATCCATTTTTTTTAGTCTGCACCCTCGTCGTCCACAAGCGCTGCCACGAGTTCGTCAATTTTGCGTGCCCGGGCGCTGACAAGGGAGCCGATACGGACGTGAGTTTTTGGTGACAGGTTGTCACCGCTTTTAAGGCTTGCTTGGAATCTGGATCTTAGAGCCCGGATAAACCTTCCGCCACCCTCAAAAACTCTAGGAATAGGACTTAAAGCTTCCAAGGTGCTCAAAAAGCTACTGAGGCCATCTAAACACAGCCGGAATTGTCATTTCCGGGCGTTTTTCCCAGTTCTCTGGCTTCATCAAGTCACGCTGACCGTAAACCCACGCATTTACGGGTAGCTAAACTCCCCGAACCAGTGGTCCATGGGGGCACTAATTTTATTGGTAGCCATAAAAGTGACGCCCTCGTCAATTCACCCCAACGAACCGTTTTTACCGGAAAACTCGAAAGGGCGGATGGAAAAATCCAAGTGCAGGATCAATATAGAGTGAAAAAATTGCGGAAGATAAAACTAACATAATTGTTCAGGACCCTCGACAGCAACACAAATGGAAAGTACAGACCTACTCTTCGCCCACCTTTTGCGACCACTGCGGTTCGCTGCTTTACGGGTTGATACACCAGGTAAGCAATTAATCGTCAGCTCTCCGGGTCCCTTTAAAAAGCGACCAATACCGTGGAGCAGAAAAAAATCAGAATAAATAAAACTTTTGACTAAAGCGAATAATCATAGCAACTGCTATTAGGAAAACTAGTTCCTCGCTCGCTAGGATTGCTGCAAGCCCGCAAAAAATCTCATGCCAGCTGTTGCCACCCATTTAAACCGGAAAAAAAAGCATAACAAAAAATTAGTTTCTGCGTCATCGCAACACAAAGGAAATCTTTAAAAATGCTATATGATGGCATAGGCCCCGAAAAATGAGTTACTCCCATTAGCGCGACCATTTCTTTTTGACCCAAACGGGCGATTTGCGCAATCTGTTCGTGTTCGGGTCGCCATTCTAAAAGCTCACAGCCCGTAAATGAATCAGGGAATTGACGCATAACTCGGGGCGCAAACTTTACTTAAGAAAAATCGGCGCAGAAATCTGTAATCCCGGCATTCCCTGACCCTGTCCAACTGCTTGCTATGTACGCCTGGAGGGTGGCCGCGTTTAGACGACAGGTAATTTTGGGTTAGCTGCTATTGCCTTTAATTAGGATGCGATATGAATGGGGAAATATTTTCTATCTAGCTATTAAGTCCTAGAAAAGCTATATTTTAATGGATACCTTACTAACTGCCCTTTTTCAGGGAATGAAATGCCAGTCCTGCGACACGAACGTCCACCACAGATGCGTGAAAAATGTGCCAAATTTATGCGGAACGGACAATACGGAGAAGAGAGGGAGGATGCTGGTTGATATACGAGTCGAGGGAGGAGAGCTGAGGATTCATGGTAAGTGGAGAGAGCGAGAAAGGGAGAGAGAGTGACAGAGAGAGAGCGAGAGGAGAGCGACAGAGTAGGATACCAAACCGGTTTTTTTTTAGTGAAAGAAGCCCGTAACCTCATCCCAATGGACCCTAACGGCCTCTCCGACCCGTACGTCAAGTTGAAGCTGATTCCAGAAGACGCCGGATGCAAATCGAAGCAAAAGACAAAAACGCTGAGAGCGACACTCAACCCGACTTGGGATGAGAAGTTTAGCTAGTACGTTTACAGAATATTACGCACACATAACGATAGATTATTTAGTATACCTTTCGGATAATCCGATTCAACTTTTTGGACATCAAAAAAAGCGATTTTCAGCAAACTTCTCCCCACCGACCGGGATCGCCGGCTTTCAATCGAAGTTTGGGACTGGGACCGGACGTCGCGCAACGACTTCATGGGCTCGATGTCCTTCGGGATCTCGGAGTTGATCAAGGAGGGCGTGGCCGGGTGGTTCAAGCTGTTGAACGAGGTGAGGTATTCCACATAAAATTTAACCGAATGTTGTTAGACACGGTCAAAGTTCCTCCAAAAACACGATAAAAGTTCAAAACATTAACGGAATTGCGCGGAACAATTTAAATTTGGAGTTGAACTGCAGTTTTTGTATAGAATTTCCGTATCTTTAAATTGTCTATTAAATGCTTTTAAAACTAGGCTCAACAGTTTTATATCTCGGCATCAGAAAGTATCTCAAACGGCCAAAATTATAGCAAAAATTAGATTAAAATGAAAAAACCCTGATTAAAATACGAAAAATGCTCTAAGGCTTGTTAAATTCACCTAGTTATATTTTTTCAGGAAGAAGGCGAATTCTACAACATCCCAATCCCCCCAGAAGACGAGGAGGAGTTCGAAAAGATGCGTAAAAAGATGGAGGACTGCAATGTAAGTTTCTAACCTTGCTTTTGCTATTTTTAACACCGAAAATTTCGCTTACTAATCGCTTCCATTAAAGGGACGCCGACCTCGCCACCGGGTAGGCCAAATCTTCCCGATTTCCGCTAATCCCTGTTTTTTTCACGAATTTCTCAATATTTATTTTTTTCTGTTGGTTCGCTGGCTTTCAGAAATGGTAGTTGGACTGTACTAGATGGCCATCGATAGATTTCTGTTTATCTTAGACGTAGTGATTTTTTTAGTCAAACCGAGAAAAGACGCCGCCGAAGCCGAGGGATATGACAAAGTCTCCAACCCTGAAGAGCGACGTCATCAAGGCGGCCGATTTCAACTTTATTACCGTGTTGGGGAAGGGATCTTTTGGAAAGGTGAGTGGATCGTTCCTCACGCTGAAATAGTTGATATTTACGGTTCTGAAGATCCATATATCCATTTTTCCTCACGAGCAACGCGCAACGTGCACCGTCGTGCTTTCATAGCGTAATCCATTAAACCTAATTCGCTCACGTCCGGGTATTTTCCATATACAATCCATGGCCAAAAAATGAGAACCGTTAAAGAAGCTTAAAAGCCTCAGAATCGTCCCCAGCGATCCGCTAGCTCTCGACAGTTACGCGACATCCCTAAACCAGTAAAACTCTAAAATCACGTAAAAATGTTCTTGGCTTAGGATAACCAATCTTTTTAAATCTAGTCAGAGGAGGGGAGAAATGGTGTCACTTTTTGAGCCATTGAAAAATGCCCGAGGATATTTTTTTAATTCAAACTCGAAGAAATCCTCTAGCCAAGTTAAAAGTTGCGTTCCCTTTAAACAAAAATTACAAAATACATCCAATTTCAGGTGCTACTTGGCGAACACAAGACGTCTCGGGAACTGTTTGCTATCAAAATCTTGAAGAAGGATGTGATTATTCAGGTGGGTGACTGACCGGACGTTTTTCCTGGGTTATCTGGATACTTTAGTTGCAAATTTACATTCTAGGACGACGACATCGAATGTACAATGACTGAAAAGAGGGTGTTGGCCTTGCCGGACAAGCCGCCATTCCTCGTCGCTCTTCACTCTTGCTTCCAGACTATGGTGGGTAGAGAGAAAGCGAGAGCGAGAGAGTGAGAAAGAGTGCGACAGAGAGGGGGAACCATCCAATCGATTCAGGATCGCCTCTACTTCGTGATGGAGTTCGTCAACGGCGGCGATTTGATGTATCAAATCCAGCAGGTCGGCAAATTCAAGGAGCCGGTTGCATGGTAAGTAAAAAAGAGAAGGCAACTTAAAGGTTATTTTTAGTTTCTACGCCGCCGAAATTGCCGTCGGCCTCTTCTTCCTCCACTCCAAGGGGATCATTTACCGAGATTTGAAGCTCGACAACGTCATGTTGGAACGGGATGGACATATTAAGGTGAGTATCACTTTACTCATACCTTGGAAGCCGATTCTTGCAATTATTATTGAACACATCATGATTATACAGGTAAATTTTTCGGTAATTTTAACTTGGTTCTTCAGCTTTATTTCGTGCATTTTAGATCACCGACTTTGGTATGTGCAAAGAAGGAATTACCGGTGACGCGACGACAAAGACCTTCTGCGGTACTCCAGATTACATTGCGCCTGAGGTAAGCAACTTTTGACGCGGAAAATAAGATACTGTTCAAAAACAGAAGTAAAAAAACAAACTCGTCAAAAAATGTATACTCAATCTATGCAGATCATCCTCTACCAACCCTACGGGAAATCGGTCGATTGGTGGGCGTATGGTGTCCTGCTCTTCGAGATGCTGGCCGGACAACCGCCATTTGACGGCGAGGACGAAGATGAACTATTCACAGGTCAGTTGCAAACTTGCAAAAGATAAAATTACTTTATCGAAACTGTAAAGGCCTGAAATTTAATAGTCGAACAATAAAGTACATTTTAAGCAATCACTGAGCACAACGTCTCGTATCCGAAGGCTCTTTCCAAGGAGTCGGTCTCGATTTGCAAGGGATTCTTGCAGAAGAACCCGGTCAAGCGGCTGGGATGTGGTTCGAACGGGAATAGGGATATTCAAGTAGGATCATGATTTTTGTTATGATTTTAACGACTTGTTAAAAACTCAAAAGTTTCAACTTTGGCCCTAACTGTGAGGCGTGAGATTAGCTACGCAACGTGCACGTGACGCGTTCACTTCCCATAATATTCACAATAATGTATTTTCAGCGATCAAAGACTATCAGTACTTTTTCAGGAACACGCCTTCTTCCGGCGGATAGACTGGTTCAAGATCGAGGCCCGTCAAGTCCAACCGCCCTTCAAGCCCAAAGTGGTAAATCACATTTTGCGGACTTTTTTAACAAGGACCCTAACAATTCGCATAAAATAACCCTCTGAATTTAATAACATTTTTCTCCAAAATCACTTCCCCTTTCCCGCCGCACCCCTTGCGGGCACCATCCCTTGAAATCTTTCCGGAATTATGGCTTCGAAAGGAGCTCTGTCTAAATGTTTTGTCGTCGGCATGTGGCAATCTGATGCGCGTCCCAAATATTATGGAAAGTTAGATAAATGTTTAGCAAAAACCTGTAGGGTACGAAAAGACGCCTAAAAAAGCGGTGGGCATCTGGGTACTGTGGAATCGGATATTTTGGCGAAAATCTAGTATCATTAATGCGTGAAAGGCGTAGAATTGGTGCATCTCACATTGATGGGAGAATCACGATACCTTGCTACCTTATTTCTCCGTAATACCTCTTGGCTCTTTAAAGGTATCAGATACCTAGAGGCCAAATTTCTTTAATGGTACCAGGACGGCAACGCGCGCATTTTAGGTTATGGATTTCTACGGACTTTGCCGCGCCCGCGACACGCGACGCACTCGCCGCTTTGCCACCTGCGAGCGGTCGTAATCCGTGAGAGCGCGTTTGAGCGCGTTGCGTACCGCGGCGCGCAAGACATCTTGGAGAGTCCAGACCTTGTAGCACCAGATTTTTGCCTTTGCCTGCCTTTAGTGACATTCTGATGCGCGGAAAGAGTCTTACGAAAATGGTAATTAATTTATAAACTTAGCTGTTTGGGCATTTAAGTCTTAATCTATTTAAATTAAATTTGCAAGTCTGCGTTCAAGAATTATCTAAAAAGACATCAAAAAAAGTGTGACACTGAAGGATGTGCTAAAATTCCGCTGGACCCCCGATTCCACAGTATCCCGACACCCCCGCCAGCCTAAAGCATGCCCCTTTCATGCCCTGGAATCGACCCTTTCCCCTTCCACCCAGCAGCGGAATGTGCATTGTCTCGGCATCTTTCAGAAATCGGGCCAATCCACCGAAAACTTCGACCACTCCTTCCTGCGGTTGCCGGTCAGGTTGACGCCGTCCGATATGGCCGTTTTGGGCAACATTCGAGGAGATGAATTCGGCGAATTCTCCTTCGTCAACCCGCATTTTGCCAACACTGTCGATGATGAGCCGCTGATTTTGATGCGATAGGCGCATTTAGAAGCGGGAATCTTGGTTTAAAGGAACTTGGACGGCAATAATTTATGGCCAATTTGAAATTAGATCTAAAAAACATTTTCAATTTTTTAAAAATGTTGACTGTTTTGCCATCATTTTGCTTATTTTGCCTTCGCTTATTATAGCGAAATATTTCGCTATTCAGTGATATATTTGTCTTGCCAGGCCCTTTAAAATGCGCTGAACGATCTGAAAAGCTAAAACTCGGGTCTTTAAAAGCACCGGGAAGGCAAGGATCGACAGAAAAACAAGACCCATAATTTAGAAAATCTAAAAAATTCAAAATGATGCTATTTTGTAAAATTTGACGCTTTTCCAGGTTTTATTTTAGTTATATATTTGCCTCCCAAGTCCTTGGAAACCGAAAATTATATGAATTGCACCTTCCTGTCCACCCGAAAATGTATATGTCGACTATCCTCCTAGTCTTCACCCAAACAAAGCGCCATTCCTTTCAACTTCCTGTCCGGAATTTGGAATGTTCCGAAAATTTTGTTTTGTGTCTATTTATCAGTATTATCATACCTGTCTCTGTCCACATTACCGGTGCCATCTATACACAAAAATAGTTAGAAAAATCGGCCAAAAACCTTCCGCTTTAAAGGGACGGGCAAGACATGGCTATGGATTTTCGGCTAAGTTAGCTTAGGGCCAGGCTTGGTTTGGTCTTAGCTTCGGCTTAGCTTAGGCTCAAACTTAGCCTTGGCTTGCGTTTCTCCAAGAACAGTCCAAGCGCCAAAAATCCATATCCATGCCTTGCCAGTCCCTTTACAAACTCCTACTTGGTTGTCTGCCAGTCTCCACCATCTATTCTTTCCTATTTTGCACTTTTCGAACCGTATTTCCAAAGTTCCGAGGAAGTACTCTTAACGTACTCGGATTGCTGTCATGTGCCCATATGCATTTACTGTCGTTATTTCCCGATATGTTTTGGATCGTTGTTGTGAAGCTCGGCGTATGGTTTTTTGATGGATTCTGCAATTTTAATACGAAAATTAGGTATTTAAGTTTAACGGAAAAATAAAATAAGGCTGAAAATCCGGAATCCATCACGAAAATTGCATTTTCCCTTCTCTATTCCATAGACAATCATTTGCATGCGGATCATGTGGATCCGTAGGTGTACTGTAATCGGTTTGCCTAGCAGAATGGTTTGGTTAGGATTGAAGGGTTTTAAAGGAACATTGAAACCTAAGCTAAGCCTAAGCTAAGCCTAAGCTAAGCCTAAGCTAAGCCTAAGCTAAGCCTAAGCTAAGCCTAAGCTAAGCCTAAGCTAAGCCTAAGCTGGCCTAAGCTAAGCCTAAGCTAAGCCTAAGCTAGGCCTAAGCTAAGCCTAAGCTAAGCCTAAGCTAAGCCTAAGCTAAGCCTAAGCTAAGCCTAAGCTAAGCCTAAGCTAAGCCTAAGCTAAGCCTAAGCTAAGCCTAAGCTAGGCCTAAGCTAAGCCTAAGCTAAGCCTAAGCTAAGCCTAAGCTAAGCCTAAGCTAAGCCTAAGCTAAGCCTAAGCTAAGCCTAAGCCAAACCCAGGCTAAAGCTAAGCTAAGCCTAAGCTAGGCCAGCTCTAACTTTAAACCTGACAAACCGATTACGCTAGTAAAATCCCCAATTTTCCTTAAATATACAAATTTTATGTTGAAAGCCCTGATCTATTCGTGGTTGATGTCGTCTTTTATATCGTCGTATTTCCTATATCTATTCTTCTCTTCTCTCCTCGAATCACGACAATGAATACCATTCTCCTTATCATTTCATCATTATTATTTTTTTGAGCCACAGTCACAATACACCCCGGTTTCTCAACGTGGTGATTAATAAAATATACTTAATTAAACAAACAGTGGAAAAGCTTTTGATAATGGTTAGAAGATTTCTTAAAAAGATTCGGTTTACCTTACATAATCAACTTCAAGTTAAAGGAACCGGAAATGCATATCTATGGGCTTTTTGGATATGGACTCTAGATAATTGCAGCAGCGTCTGCGATAAGCAGCGCACACGCGTCGCTTGTTCGGCCTTTGGAGCTCGTAATCGATGACACAATGAAAGGGCTCGCGTGTGCGTTGCGTAGCGTGCTGCTGGCGTCGAACGGTCCATCAAAAATACAAATGGAAAAATTATATTGTCTTGCCTAACCTCATAGTCATTCGCAAGCGGTTTCAGAGCTTTTTAGAAGGGTCTTAGCCAGCCAGAAGCTAAATTTATGACAATTTTGATGGAATATCATTGAAAGGTTTAAGATTCCTACGTGTTCCCAAGTTTAGGATAATTCTTATTTTATTGGACTTTATTCAATTTTGAATGTTCTTCGACATCTTGTAGGTTATATTGACCTAATAATCTTCATAAAATGCTACTAATTTGAAATTAAAGTTACTATTTTTAAACCTACGTTTTCCACTACAGAAAGCTCCCGATGACGTCTCAAACTTCGACCCGGAATTTACACACGAGGTGCCCCGGCTAACCCCAATCGATCGACTCTTCCTGATGAACCTCGACCAGACCGAGTTCGAGGGCTTCTCCTTCGTCAACCCCGAATATGTACTTGAGCCATGAACACGCTTACAAAATTGTTAGAATCTAATTTCTTTGATAAAGCCTGGGGAAGGAGGTATCTTGAGGTCTATGTATTGATACCGTATCTGGATGCAAATTCGATACTGAGACTGATGCCCTCGGCTCCAAGCCTGTTTCTTACCCCATTAAAGGGATGCCCAACCTTTTCGCGGCTCAAAAAGCAAAAACCATGCAGCGCGCAGGGGTCGAACCCGAGACCCCCGTTTTGTAGGCCTGGATGCTATCCATTAGGCCATAGTGGCAAGCCATTGGATGGGATGGGGACGCCAAAAGAGGCAAAGATGGCCGGATTCTGTGCGGCATTGGGGGCCCATTACCGCACAAAATTCGAGTGTCATTTGTACTGCCCGGAATCCATAACTATATATTTGCCGCCAAAACCTTGGGTATCCCTTTAATAATATTAATACCTTTCCCCTGATCTCGACTTTAATAACCCTATTTTGTATGTATTTTTTCATTAAATTCTTGTGCAATTTGAATATTTCTACCGATGTCCTGGTACCGTTGCCAATCCGTTGAATACGTGCATAATAACAAATCTTCTTCCCGCCGTGACAAAATATACGTCTTGAAGAACTTGATCCAAGCCGACTTCCATAAGTATCCTGATTCTGAAAATCAACTGATTTGATCCGAATTTTCTTTTGATACGACAAACTGCATTTCCCGTGACTTTCAGTGGTAATAAATATCGATATTTCATATGCGATACCTACTAAAACAGCTGATTGAGCTCAAAAATCAAAAAATGACTTACAGAAGTTTAACTCAGTAAATACCTTTAAAAACAGTAGATTTAAAACAATTTTTGTTTATTTTAATTTCTCAAACATTCAAGCTACATAAAATCCCGATATTCGCATTTAAACTACCGTAATCCATCGGAGTTTTTTATAAAAATTAAACGCTTAATTTCCGGATGATCCCTTAAAAAAAAGCAAATTTTTGATATAATTGATGCAAATCGGCAATTTCTGTTGTCAGGGTAAAAACATCGAAATATCCCAATTTATATACTACATATTTGCATAGTACAGTACGAGCAGAAAAAGATCGAAACAGTACGAATCTAATTATTTTTATCTACACAAATTTTTGCCACTACAGTACTCCTTTAATGAATTTATACCGGTTACAGGCTCAATAGGTAGCCCTGAAACTAACACTAAATTTTTGTAAAATGACTACATCGAAATATGCAGCAAAGGTTCTTTTATTTTCCGTATTTGCAAATCATCTACGGTAGCAATACTATTTTTCCATCCAGTTACGCCACTGTTTCTCGGCCTGGGTCCCGCAGCGACTCCCCCTCCACGGTAGCTGGCACCTAGCCAACCCCATCCCAATGAGAATCGATAGGGAAAGAGGGGCCCGGGAGTGGGGATGGCCCTTCTCCCCTGAAAGCTCATTCCGTTCACCGAAAGGGAGAAGCCCCCCCTTGGGCCATTCCCTACCCTCCTTCCGAACGACAAATGAGATTTTGCCGCACTCGGCTGACTCCCGTCGGCCACATATACCCCTAACCGAGACCATATTCCGTTCTAAATCTTCTCATAGAGTGGTTTTTTTGTGTTTAAAGGGATGGGGAATTCAAGAGGTTCTAAAGTATAAGTTTGCAGACTTTGAGCGCTAACTACTCTTTTCGGGTGTAGATGAAGACTAGGCAAATCGGTGGGTTTCATAAGCTTTTCATTGGCAGACGGTGTTTGGCATTTCTTTCGAAAATTTTTCCGATTACTAAATTTGGTATTTTTACCGGTTTTTTAAAGTTCAAAAATGTTTTTATTTGAGGTTATGGGTCTTGAAAAGTTGCAATTATCAAATTTCGCTTTTATGCTATGTATATTGTTTTATGTTTTATATATCATACAAAACGGTTGATGAAGTCTTCAAATTCAAATAATGAGATAAATGAATTTTCAAAATTACCTAAACACCGATTTAAAAGTTTGATTTGTTAAGGTTACCTCCTACCACTCAATAGATTCAGCCCTTACTTACGGGTTCGCCCTTGCAAAACGGAATAAATAAAACCAAGAGGCCAACCAAGAAACGAAGCCGGAATTCCACCCGCAAGTTGATCACCTCCACACCGAGTCCACCAGTCCATAAGTAGGCTAAAACGGTAGCGGAAGCTGATAGTATCCTTTTGATGCATTCACCCTAGACTTCCTAACTTCACATAACTTTTTTCGCGACTAGAGTAGACCTGTTTCGACGCTTTTTTGACGTCTGAAATCCAAAGTTCCGGAATCTGTTCCACTGATGCGCAAATAGAGCAGTTTTTATCTTCTTTGCAGTCTGGTCCAAAAACCGGAAACACTAACAACTATTTTAGTTTTTTTTTATCCTTTGAATGACCCAGAATCTAGTAGAGTTTGCTCATGTACCCACCCACTTTTTCTCATTTTTGAATTTCCGGTGCTCCACTAAACTCTCCATTTTATGCTATTTACCCCCAATGTCCGGCGAACACCTGCCGTACGGCTATTAGTGTGTAAATAATTTTTTTGGCGCCATTTTTTGGGGATGTTCCGCCGTCTGACGAAGCGTCCCTAGTTTGCCCATCTGCCGTGCTGGACACCGCAGCCAAAACATAGCCAGGCACCACCCCGCCCGGTCCGCTTCATCAACCTGTTTGATCCTCGTTTTCGACTCACAGAGTTAGATCCCTCATTCTCGCGTCTTCTACCCTAAAATATGGAAAGCTCTTCTAGCGCTCGCATGCGAACGCTGCTGAAATGGATCGTTTATGATTCGGCCGAGTCGAACTTCGCCTCCGGGTTCATCAACATCTTTGTCGCCATTTTGGTGGGTTTTCAGGCCGATTTTCGTGAATGGAATTTCATCTAATGGTATCGTAACGGTATCGGAAAAGCCAAGTAATGGACATTTTTACCAACCGACCCGAATCCACCTCTATTTTTGATTAGGTCTCGACAGCTGTGCACTGCTCTAAATGATGCCATATCTCATGTAAAAATGCTCCTGGAAAAATGGGGGTTATAGTAAAAATTATGATGCCTTTCCAACGTTTCTGGGAGTACCGCGTGGTTATTGAGATCTATCGAAAGACAGACGATTCTAACGTTTACCAGTCCCTTTAAAACCTTTCATCAATCATCATTTCTCAGGCAATCTCGGCCCTAATCAGCAGCGACTGGATTCTGATCGATGACCAGACCAACTCCACCCTAATCGAGCCTCTCTCTGAGTTTCCGGGAGCACAGAAGTGCGAACGCTTGGGTGAGTCTCGACGTGATTATTCTGCTCACCTCTCTCACTCTCTCTCTCTCTCTCTCTCCCTCTCTCTCTCGCTCTCTTTCTCTCTCTCTCTAAATGCAACTCTCTTTTTGTAGGTACCCGCGACTTCTGGAGCATCTCCTCATTCGGGGGATTCGTCGAGAAGAACGGGAAGAAGCACACCGCGTTCAGAACCGAGGATCGGGTATTGTGGGATTGTGTGACGCCGCTGGTTGCTGATCTTTTCTGTAGGTCTTTTCTTTTTAAAGAAGCTGAGAATGGTCAGATTTTTCTGACTTTTGCCACGATAAGCACGCAAAGCACAAGAAAGGTTGTGTAATGGGTTAAACTCCATTTTAACAACGCTTTTGATGGGAGCGACAAAATCGAAGGAGAGTCCATAGAGTTGAAAATTGGCAGCTCACCTTCTCAGTTCCTTTAAAGTGATGGTGCCGTTCTCTACTGCTTGAAAAACTTCTATGGAACCGGATTTCAGACCTCCTCATCGCCCTCTGCTTCGTCGTGGCCCTCACAGCCCTCTGCGCCGCCCTCCTTCACGTCCTCGCCCCTCCCCACAGCTTCCTGGCATGGCTACGCAGGAATACGGTGGTCGAGATGTGCAATAGTAAGCGTAGATTCAACGAGCCCAAAAAAAAAATTATGTCTTAGTGCTTCTCTGCCTCACCGCCTGCGCCGTATCCATCGTGGCCGAGGCGACAATTGCCAACCTGCGCCCAGAAGCCTCGGTCAGCGTCGGCTCCGGGCTGTTCCTGTTGACGCTCTCCGGGTTGCAGTCGTTTTTGTCGGCTGTTGTCAGTCTGAGACACACGTAAGTTTTATTTTAACGATCTAAAAAAATTGGGTAAATGATATACTGAAATTAAGGACCCAACCTTAAGAATTTGCGGCTTGGAGATAATAGATAAAAATAGCGGCTCTAAAACTGTCCAAATCCTAAAAAAGTTGTAACACGAAAATAATATATCTGAAAACAACTTTATTTTTCAGGTCCAAGATTCAAAAAGCGCGCCGCATCGACAATCAGCGCCTGCTTTGCGCGAGGTCCCTTCGATCGTGGCGGGATATGGGTAGAAGATCTGAGGACACCAGGCCGATCGTCGATTTCGAGAGGTACGAAATGTTGCAAATACTGTAATAATTTGTTTTATCCCAAAACAAGGCAATATTCAAGAAAATCTTTGCTTCAAAAAATTATTCATTGAAAGCGACCATCACGTTCCCCCTTTTTTGAAAAATCCTGGCTATGGGAATCAGCAAAAACGCCGACAGCTCAGCTACCGAGAAACCAGGATGCCGTGATTCAAAAGATTTGGCTTTGCTAATGGTTTTTCAAATGCTCTCATTGGGTCGGCATTTTCATTTCGTTGTCGGCATTTGGGTCTCAGCATTTCAGTTGTCGGAATCACGGTATCGTAATTTATATATCGACGTCTGACTCCCGTGATTTAGCTCTAGAAACTTTCGTTGTCAAAAATTAGCATACCACCTCATTCTTCAGATACCTCGACTCGGCCAGCGCAGCCAGCGTCGAGGAGCTGTCCGTGATGCCAAAGATGGAGGAAACGATTTGATGCGAATGTCACTAACAATTCAATAATTTCCCCCACATTCCCTAGTTCTTTCTAGTCGCATAATACTGTAATAGTCTCCCAAATCTTTGTCCAAATCGTCGATATCTAGTCATCAACCCTAAATCTATGTCATCTCCCACCCTCTAAAGGGCTCCTCAAGTCAAATCCACAAGATTTTCGACTTGCCATCGCCTTTAAAATCCGCAACCAGCTTATGTCAGGTGTTCACAAAAATAAAGGCGCTTATCTCTAAAAAAGCGGCTATTCGACCCAAAACGTTCGTCAGCATTTTTCAAAAACTGATAAGAGCCCGGCAAACAACCTGGGCCTCGATTTCGCAAGCCATCGATCCGTTTCAAACCGGTTTTTTACACCGGATATGAAGCAAATATTCTTACTCGTCTTCGTCCTTCTTTTACAGGTAGTTTTCTAGTATTCACCCCTCCCATTTATCGATTTTCCATTTCCCTTTTTATGCCCGGCTGATAGCCTGTATTTACCGCTAGTTGGATAGAATGTATTCGTTTTTCGGTTCTGATCTCTTCCCCGTCCTTGTCATCTGCATAAAGTCATTATAAAACTATACGATACAACAAAAATTAAAATGTCACAAAAAAGATTTGATAAAGCAAAGCGAAAAGTTATAAAGTCATCGAGCTTCGTTTTCATTAGCATTTTTCCAAGTGATCTATTGTCAAAAACCTTCAAAAATAGCAATATTTTTGATCTAAAGTATTGTACATAATCCTTGCAAAGGGTTTTTTGTAATAATTGATTTTAACTTTAGGTAGGTAAGTATACAGGGTGTCCCAAAAAAAAAGACCCCCCCAAAAATTTGAGCCAGAGGACACCTAAGGAGCTGAAAATTTGCACAGAGGTAGCGAAGCCAATTTCCCATGTATATGGAAAGTTTGAGCCATATCGGCCGACGGGTTTTAAAGTTATAGCGAAAATACTTTTCATTTTTAATTTAATATGGGGATTTTTGCAATTTGCATCAAAAATATGCGTTATTCTTGAATTTACGAGCCGATTTTGCATAAATTTTGCCAAAAAATGCCATTTTCTTGCTGGAGCATGGCGCGAACGATTGCGTATGAAGAGTAAAAATAGTGTGAAAACAACTGTTTTATCGATCCAAACCACGCCTTATTGTGCATTTTGGCAATCTGCTTCGCGCTAGTCCCGAAACAGAGTTCGATGAGCTTTTAGGTGGTGCTTAAGTTTAGATTTGGGCTTGGGTTTAAGTCAGTCCAAAGTCTAAGCGAATTTCAGGCGCTGAACGATAGTTTCAACCAATATATCTTGTACTCAGCGGTCTTGCTGATCGTTTTTACGCTGCATGAGCAATCGTTTTCCAAAAGCTCCAGCAAGAAAATGGCATTTTTTTGGCAAAATTTATGCAAAATCGGCTTGTAAATTCAAGAATAACGCATATTTTTGATGCAAATTGCAAAAATCCCCATATTAAATTAAAAATGAAAAGTATTTTCGCTATAACTTTAAAACCCGTCGGCCGATATGGCTCAAACTTTCCATATACATGGGAAATTGGCTTCGCTACCTCTGTGCAAATTTTCAGCTCCGTAGGTGTCCTCTGGCTCAAATTTTTGGGGGGGTCTTTTTTTTTTGGGACACCCTGTAAACTAATTTAAGCAGTTTAACCGTTAGAAGGACAACATAATTCGAAAAACAGTGCCCCTAGCTGGGGGAAACGTCAAAATCCCGACAGCCAGATGCCTGACAGTGGAAATTTCGACGTTAAAAATACCGACAGACCAAAATCCCGGCAGCGAAAGTCATGATACATTCTTGACGCTAGCTGGAATTGAAACTACTTTTACTACTTTTTGAAACTTTTTGAAAACAGCTAATTGTCGTCATTGTCGGGATTTTGGTTGTCCGGATTTTGGTTGTCGGGATAATTTGATCGTTGGGTTTTTGGCTGTTGGGATTCTGGCTCTCGGCATCATGGCTGGAAGCCCTCCGGTTATGCCATAGTGTAAAATACGGTGCTACGCCTGAAAATTCAAATTTTTTAGGTAACGCAAGCCGAATGGAACTTTACGACATCATCTCCTCCATCCCGACCGCTTGACGCCCAGGGGTTGCGTGAATTTTGCGGAAATGTGGGTATCCTTAACTTTTCTACGGCGCCAAACGCCAAACGTCTCCAACTATTGCAGGGTACCTTCCTGACCATCAACTGGAACGGGGACCATTATTGTGTGAGATGCTCGAGATGCAACTGGAACACCTACATGATTGTAAGCATCTTGCAAAATCGTCTGAAAAAGCTTCCGCTTCAACGCTTCTTTTAAAACCATTACAGGCCAGCTGCGATTCACTACACGATACCATCTGCGGAACCTGTCGTGGCATCTGGGATCCGGAGAATAGCAAAATTCAGGCTGTTCGGTCGGAATTTTTGTGGAGTGTGATTTTGACGTTTTCAGGGAGCAATGCCCATGGAGAACGACACCACGCTACGAGCCACCGACGACTCCGTCATATCCGGATCGGCTCCCGATCAGGTACCGCTGGACACCTAGTTACTACTACAACCAACTGACGACCCCGTCACCCTGGCGCAATTAGTGAGGCAGCGCATCCATCAATAATTAGCAGTCAATTTTCAGCCAGGATCGGTATCTTTCCTACTATAACTATTACTACGGTCAACGCAATTGGGAGGATTGGGACTATAGACAAAGGTATGGTTGTCGATGGCGTCTCCCAACCCGATACAGTGTAGTGAGTAAAAATACATAGTAGATACAGTGAGTAAAAACACTTTACAGTGAGTTAGTTTCCCAATCTTTTAGTGATCAAAACCACATACGAAACCATTTTAGTAACCACTATAACTTACCACCTGAGAAGTATAGGTTGAGCCATAAAATTTACTTCCCCCTTGGTGACAGTCAAGTACTAGGTCATCATGTTCCGGCAATCTTAAAGCTTGCAGGCTTGCGCGGAACTTCCGTATCATGCTCGGTGCCGGCGCTCTGATTGCGGTCTTGGGTGCCATTGGGCTTTACACAGCCGTCGCAAAATGCGTGAAACACGTGGGTTTTTGGGGTCTTTCTGCATCTTTTTCCCGATACTGCCTCCGTTTCTTGGATATTTTTATGGTATACCCTAACCAGGGTTTTTCAGCGCCGCCAGAAGGCGGCGATCATCGGCGATACCGTAAAGATTCTGAACGAGCAGATTGAAAAGGAGCAAACCGTCCCGGGCGTTCACGTTGTTTGAAAGATGCAGGCCTTTATTCCGATTTTCCTGAATAAATACGTACTTGAATTTGCATATGGAAATGCGTGCAGCGGGTCGACCAACTGGGGCAACACAGGAATTCAGTGGATTGCGGGAGCAAACCTGGGCCCTTTATACAAATACTTTGATCGGAGGCGTGTTGTGGGTATTAAAGGGACGGGTAAGATACATCATCCGTAGGTGCCCAAAAATTCGGGAAATCGCAAAAAATCGTTTAAATGTTAATTTCTAACAGTCTTCAAGTCCAAAGCACGGCAGTAGTTTGCGAATTAATAAAATAAAAAACTGGCAAACGGCTCAAGTTGTATACCAGAGATTCTAGATGTTCACTAATAAGCCCTCGAAATTGATTTTTTCAAAAAGACCTTTTGACTATCGATGCCTTGATCGCTCTTTCTATCTCTCTCTCTCTCTCTCTCTCTCTCTCTCTCTCTCTCTCTCTCTCTCTCTCCCTCTCTCTCTCTATCTCTCTCTCTCTTTCTCTCTCTCTTTCTCTCTCTCTTTCTCCCTCCCTCTCTCCTCCCCCTCTCGCTTTCTCCCTCTACGGTTTTTTTATCGCGTAACTGATTCGGTTTTTGCCCATAGTAAATGGCTCGATCTGCAGTAGCCATCCTTATCCCATTAAATCCACTTTAATTTTTTGTCTTTCCAAATTTGATTTCCCTTTTGTCTAGGTGCATGGGAAAGTGGGGGAAGGGATATGAATTTAGGAGAGATCACGCGCCGATGAGTGAAATGGGCAGGTTTTAGGCGTTTATCAGAATCTCCTCGCCAGCGCGAATCGCCGGAGGGCTTTGTGTCTTTTTGCCATCCAGCTGTGTGGGGGAGGAGGGAGCTTGAGGGGGAGGATTGGGTGAGCTGCGACTCAACAGGGAGGAGGAGGTGATTGTTTTCACACGTTTGTGCCCCCAGGAGAAGCTAGCTGCCTCCCTCTTTTCTCTGGATCGTTTCACTCCTCATTTCACTATCCGTTTTGGCGCCCACACACCCCTGGGGGTGGGTGGGTGATCGCATATTTTTCTGGACCACTTGATTTTTTTGACAATTTTTGTTTTGGAGGAAAATAGAGCAGCTGATCATTTTTTTACAAAAGTTTCCAAGTTTGCTATTGTTTTGCGGGACAAAAACAAGTCATCGCAGACCTACGAAAGCGTTTTTAGGTCCACTGGTAGTTTTTGTGAGATGGCTGTTTCGATAGAGCGTGAAATTCTAAGCATAAGCCTTTCTACAAGTTCTGTTTAACCACTACCGTTTTATAGAAAATTGGCTCCAAAAACCCTAAGTTTGGCCATCTTTGGCCCGCGCGCAAAAAGCATGAACTTTGATAAATGTTTCACTGCAGCCCGTGTTGTTCAACAGTTTTTAAAACCATAAATTTGTTAAGAACTTAAAATTCTATCGAATGAGCTATCGCAAAAAACAGCCCATCGGAAAACAACATCTTTCTATGCCAAAACCTGTTTATTTTCGGCGTAAAAACGTTGCCTACTCAGTTAATAATTGCATTTTAGAAACGGTAAAATTAGCGTATGGTAGCGTTGGTTTCTCGGTTTGATGTAAGCAACTATGCTCGGGTTTCCAGTCCACGGCTTTACAGTTTTTTTTCCTGCAAACTAAGATAAACCGCTACCCGGTACGCCAAAACCTACATTTAGGCGCGTAACCTCACGGCTCTAGCTGCTGCTCGTGACCGAGCGGAGTTTTATGTATTTTTATTAACTTACTATTTTTATATTTTTTGTATAAAATATTTTTTACGAACTTTTTGATTACCCATTGTTTTTCCGATTTTTTTTTTGCGCAAGTGCCCGCAACACGCCTTACATTCTGAAGAAACGCGTTTTGATAAAGCGCAATCTTGTAATACGGTACAATGGATAGCGGGCAACTGATGATATCAAGCCGTAATCCATTTGGCGATTTTGGGTTAGGTATCGCGTAGTATATATTTAGGTACGGTAGATATCGCGTGCGCCGCAAAATCCATAAAAAACGAGGGGTAATACCTTGCTAGCCCCTTTAATTCTTCGCCGCTCCTAATTTTTTTAAAACTTCTACCCCTCAATTTTCCCTTTCCTAAGTCGCAACTTTCCCAATGTTGCAACCCTATGCCCTAATGGTTAAAAACCCGTACTTGAACCCGATATACTTTCAGGACCTTTAGAACTCGACAAACAGTTTACCATGCGAAAGGTGGCGTTCCTGCTGTGCCTTATGTTTGCCGTCCAGCTGGCCTCTTCGTATACCGTGGTCGCACCACCGGTCCGGAAACGCGTTTCAGAGGTACTTGTTGAGCCGTTTTGAAGAAAGCGTAAAATGCGTAAATAGACCAGAAGCTGAATTAATAGACCTTATTTAGTTTGACCAGATGATCCGGAATTGCTTCCAAACGCTGTGTAAGGAGTGGATGACGGAATGCCATTGGTATTGTGATGCGGCGAGGGGGAAGGTTGGTTAAAAAATTAAAAAATTATGTTGTAATTGATAACCCCTTTTATCTATTTTTTGAACCTGCGCCGTTGCTTATTTAGTTTTATCTGTATACTTTAATGGAGTCTTAAGTGTACAAGCGCTGAATTGTTACTTTATTAAATTTTAAAATTATTTAAATACGTTAAACTAAAGAAACTTAATTCAACGATACTATTCAGAAAAATGCACGAATCTCAATATAAAAAAAAATTAAACAAAGTTGAAATTTGTAAAACTTCGTTTTTTCGACACTTAAAAAGTAAACATATCAAAAGTACCAAAACACGGTCTACGAAGGCTTTAAAAATTCTATAAAAACATTTATAGCATTTTTTCCAGTTCCTCCAGCAACAATGCAAGGATTGCCTTGGCTGGCGCGGAAGCAACTGCCTCGAATGCTTCAACTTGTAGAAAAACACCCAACTTACCTTCCACTGGAAAATGCTTTAAACCCGTCCACTACCTCATCAATGTGATTACCGATAATCTGTAAATACTGCCTTTATCAAGTTCAAATAAAGTTTGAATAAATATTCCTTCAGCTCAACTCTACTGAAAGTTGCCCTTGCACTAAAAGGACATCCAATTTTGGAAATACAGAAAAAGCCTGAAAGAGCATCCCGGTCTATAAAAAATCAGAGCGGTCAGCGGATTACAAGAAGTTTCGATTTCAAGCTCCACCTTACTGACTGTTTTTGCTATCACCTTTTGCTTAGCTTAATTCCATGTTTAGCGAATGCTAAAAAAACGCACCGCTAATTGGCAAACCTTTATCAATTTAGCTACTGTAAATTCTAATGAATAGCTAAATCAATCCGTTTTTAAACTTTGTTGGTGAGTCGGCCTCGCAACAAAAATTTTACTTTAGAACCCAATATCTATCCGATTGCCTGCCCTAATTTAAATTTTGGAACTTCCGTCTGCGGCAAGTGGAGCCCTACCGCATCCTTTAAACATGTTGTGCCAGTCGATCACACCCATAACAATTTCATTTGAAGGGCTTCCTGTAAATTTGAATCCTATTTTAATTTAATCCCACAATATTGCCTGGAACACCGCGGGAAGACCGATCTTTGAAATTCAGAGCTCCATGAAACTTCATGCCTTTTGAAAAAGGATGAAAATAATATAATATCGCGCTTACAATTGGCTTTTTCAGGATGCAAATTTCGTTTGTTCAACTACTCACTCTCTCTCTCCTTCCTTCTCTCTCTTTCTCTCTCTCTTTCTCTCTCTCTCTTTCTCCCTCTCTCTCTCTCTTTCTCTCTTTCTCTCTCTTTCTCTCTCTCTCTCTCTCTCTCTCTCTCTCTCTCTCTCTCTCTCTCTCTCTCTCTTACTCTCTCTTTTTCGGGAATTTGATGTTCCTACTTAAAAAAATTTCTGTACCAAATTTTATACCTCATAGTAGCCTAACCACCCGACCCTAAAAACATAATATTCGTCCCCTGGCTGCTGACCCTCGTGTCACCCCAAAAACGCCCAAAACTCCGTTCACAAATTCCAAGCTAATCTCTCCATATTGACCGGGGCAGCCGGGTGCGGTCATTGAAATTTGGTGTTATCATAAAATTTCCGGGCCGGTCCTATGCGATGACGAGGCCCCCTCACCGTTTCCGCTTTTCCTCCTCCCCACCCACATTTTTTGTGTGTGAATTTTCGAAGCTTGTGTGTGTCATGTAGGCGGTTTTTTAGGTCAGTCCCTCCCCTCGAAACCCGCGAACAGCGCGCCGGCAAAGGTCACTTTTTAGAAAACACAGTTTGGGGGGAGGTGTTTGTTCGGGTTGCCTGGGTCCGCCCACGGCTTATGGCCCGCGCTGCTGACCCTGGAATTCATGCGTATCAATCCACCCCCATTTTCGATCTATTTTTCCAGGGCGCATGGCCCGTTTTATGGGCGTTCCTTTTTTGGTGTAAATGTATCTCACTAATTCTAAGGTATCCAATTATTTTTGAACTTTTGCGTCATCTGATTTTGAATTTTTTTTGTGGCTGGTTTTGATAAGCGTTCACGAGGTGGATTAACGTATTTTTTATGCTTTTCACGGTTCGATTTTGGCTTAATAATTGAGTCATCAAGTGCTTCTTTGATTTCTCATTGAAGCCTTTTCTTGGTTATTCCGTTATGTTAACGAAAAGTTTGGGCTCGGTGACGAGGATAAACTTTTCTGATAAGAACGCGCGATATCTATTTATGCATTTTATAAATTTCTCTCTATGTCTCTCTTTATCACCGTCTCTCTCTATCTCTCTATCTCTCTCTATCTCTCTCTCTATCTCTCTCTCGCTATGACTCATGCCTTATTTAGTTCCACCTAAGATTATGAATAAGATAAGCCAGGACGCCGTGCAATTTCAAGACGGTCGCATGGCGCCAACTGGCTGCTTGTTAGGCACCTCTTTCCCCTATGAAATGCTGCTTGAACATCCAAGAAAAAAACTTATGAAACCCTTTTTGATTAATTGAGGACGCATTCGATTTTCTATCGGCAAAACCTATTACCGTT